TATATATATATATATATATATATATATATATTTGGTGGTGGGTTAGTGCAGGGATGGAACCCTGAACCTTGGCATTATCAGCACCATGCTCTGACCAACCAAGCTAACCGGTCAGCCCCAAAGCATGCTGTGTTAATGCATGTCCACTATCCCCTTGTTGTGCCCTGTTCTTGCTGAACCTACTTATGGGTTCCTGGTCTTGCTGCATCTACTTGTGTGTCCATAACTTTGCATGTTTTGCTTCCCTTACTTGGAATGTCCTCCCATCTCTACCCAATTGACCCAGGGCCCTCTTGTGCATTTTTAAGGATTCAACAAGCATTGCCTGCTCGTGAAGCAGAGCTCCCCAGAGTTTGCCGAGGTAGAGTTCAGTATTCCTTCATCCCTGCTCTCATAGTACTGAGGGCACCTCTCAGCAACAGCACATTCACCAAATAGAAATCTCAACCTGACACCAGAATAAGGCCACCCTGAAAACATTCTGAAACCCTCCATTCAGCATTAGCCTGAAACGTGAAGTCACTTAACAGAAAGTACGTTCTCCTTACTGGGAAAAATCACCAATCTCTCTGTAGACATTGTATTGTCATTATTTGTTTATACAGTTTTCCTCATAAGGCTGTGCTTTTCCTTGAGGAAAAGACTGTTTCTCAGTCATGCTGGTCCACTCAGTGACATCACAGCTCCTGGCATGTAGTAGATTCTCCAGAGCTGCTTAATGGGTGGACAAAACTATCTGTGTTTATCTATAACTACAGGATATTTGAAATACATGTAGTTAATAAGAATAGCAGAAAATATGAGAAATCCAAAGCAACTTTTCTTTGAAGTATATGCTTTTTTTGCATTATCTCATTTATTGGTTTTTTTTTGGGGGGGGGCAGTTGGCTGGTATGGAGATCCCAACCATTGACCTTGGTGTTATCAGCACCACACTCTCACTAAGTGAGCTAACTGGCCAGCATCCCTCCCCCTCTTTTTTTATTCTGGTAAAATATACATAACTTAGTATTTACCACTTTAACCATTTTAAAGTGTACAATTCAGTGATATTTAATACTTCCACATTTTTGTGCAACCATCAGTCTAGTTCCAGAACATTTTCATCACTCCAAAAGGAAACCTAATCTATTAATCTACTTTCTATCTCTATGGATTTGCCTATTCTGGACATTACATATCAATGGAATCATAAATCATACAACAGAGTCTTTTATGTCTGTTTTTTTTCACTTAGCAAAATGTTTTCAAGGTTCATGCATGTCGTAGCATGAGTTAGTACTTCATTCCTTCATGTGGCTTCCCACTGTATGGGCTGGCCGGTTTGTAGGTCCCCTTTAGAGCAGCTCCATTGTTGGAGCGCGGTGTTATAACACCAAGGTCAAGGGCTCATTCAGCCTCCAAAAACAAACAAAAAAACAATATCCCATTTTATGGCTACACCATATTTTGTTCATTTCATCCTTGATTGACATTTGAGTTGTTTCTTATCTCATTTAATCTCCACAAATACCCACAGAGGTGCCTTGTTTGCCCCTCCTTTACTGATTAAAAAGGCAGAGAGAAGTTAAAGCAATTGTATAAGTTGAATTGTCAATTAATGTTAAAGATATAAAGTTTATTGTAAGCAACCATAAGCAATATGAAGTAAATGTTGGTTTGTTAAACCCGTGTTATAGGAATAAGCAAGTGACTGATGACTGATTTGGTGCTGAGCTCATGACATATATACAAACCTTCCCTTTCTCTAATTGAGGTTCAGTGAGATTTTCTTTTGTCTTAAAATGTTGTTATTAATATTAATTCATGTTTAAATTCACATTAAGACCAACTGTTGAATAATAGACATTGCTTTATAGACATTAGTAAAAACTGAACATTTTGGAAGAAGATATTTCAGGTAAAGATAGGACATGTGATTTATAGCTATAAAGTAGATGAAGGGTAGGTTTCAAATTTTAGTTTGAAATTACTGTAGAATCAAAACTTGGCATAAAGCAGCAGGACTCTGTCCTTTGTGAAGAAAGATTTTTTTTCCTTTCCTAGTTTTACTACTTAATGGCCTTTGACCATATTTTTAATTTTGCCTTTAGAAAAATCTAGGCAAGTATTGATGATGACCCAAGTAATTAGGAATGAAATGCTCTGAATTGAAGTAATTATTTTGGCATGTTCCATAATTAGCTACAAGGTTGATTGCTCTTTAAAAACTATTCCTTTGATTCCATTTCATAGGATTATTGAACATGGGAAAGACAGAGGCCTCACTTGAGGAAGTGTTAGCCTATCTCAACCAAATCTACTGTGGGCAGATTTCTATTGAGACCTCCCAACTGCAGACCCAGGAGGAGAAAGACTGGTTTGTCAAACGGTTTGAGGAACTAAAAAAGGAGACATTTACCACAGAGGAGCGAAAACATCTGTCAAAACTGATGCTAGAATCTCAGGTATAAGATTATGGTAGTAGCTAATATCAATGGAACAGTCAGCTCATTTCCTACAAAGATACATAGTTGCTGAGGAGAGGGAACAAAGACGTTAACTGTCTGAACTTACCCCACTTACCCTCAATTGCTTCAGCACAACGGACGATAGAACACACACCGCTTTATTCTTGTAGAAAAAAAGTGTATCGCCGAACAGTCGAACTATTGGTTCTCTTCAGAGTCAAAATACTTTTTATGTGTTCGTCTACTCACTCTACCAAAGATTGCAAAATCCTTAAGAACTTACTCCTTTTTTTTGTTACCTGAAGTGATCTAAAGACTATGCATGAAAGAGGCTCTTGATACAGAATAATGGAACCGAATCCCTGTCAGGGCTGTGATCAGGCTGTGATACAGTGGGGTAGTTCACATCTTGGTTAAATAGTACCTCTGCTAAAACCAAGGTACTGGGAGAGGCAGCAGAAATGTCAGGCCTGGCCCCTAGTCTAGAACAACGCACATCGTAAGGGCTGCTCTTGGGACAAACCATGCTACCACTCAGGCCCTTCTCGTCGCAGTCCCTCCTGATGTCTGGGGTCCTTGGCAGAGCGTTCCTGCCACGTCCTGTATTACTTATGTCTCTCTTGGGGTATGTCGTGAAGGCACACTGCTGTAGCCACTTGACTAGGGTGGGTTATTCTTACAACACACATGAACTTGTCCGCCTTTCCCCTGAGTGGTGGCTGTCTTTAGCAGCTGATATGTCTGACGTGATGTTCCACAGGAGTTTGACCACTTTTTGGCCACCAAGTTTGCCACAGTGAAGCGCTATGGAGGCGAAGGGGCTGAAAGCATGATGGGCTTTTTCCACGAGTTGCTGAAAATGTCCGCCTACAGCGGGATAACCGATGTCATCATCGGGATGCCCCATAGAGGCAGGCTTAATTTATTGACAGGCCTTCTGCAGTTCCCCCCAGAGGTAAGGTCATGTCCTATGTGTCTCACCAGTACTGTACAATTGACTGTGACAGAATAAAACTGATGGTGATACTTCCTTTCAGAAAGCCAACCACACATATGAGTAGGTGGTCCAGGAGATAACTTAGTTAATTGATAAAATGTAGTGCTGACAGAACTGGTATTTAGGCTGATTTTTCTGTATATTCCTATATGAATTCTTTCATCTCTCAGGCAAGTTAAAGTTTAGTTTTTTCCCTCAAGGATGATGTGAATAGATAAATTCTGTTCTTTGAAGCATGCTTTTTCTTTTTTCTTTTTTTTCCTTTTTCCTTTTTTTTTTTTTTTTTTGGCAGCTGGCCAGTACAAGGATTTGAACCTTTGACCTTGGTGTTATAACACCATTCTCTAACCAACTGCTGAAGCACGCTTTTCTTATTTAATACAAATTTGCCAAATAAACACAATGATCTATGCAATTTTATACTATTTTACCTTCCAAAAAGTCATGGATTCATTTTTTTGCAGAGTTGATAGTTAATAGATTGTATTAAAACTAATAATACATTGTTACCTCAAGAGATCATCCAAATGAGTGCTTTTATAAGTAATTGGATCTTGGTATTCCTGTTCAGTCCAACTCTGCTGCTTGCTAAGTCTCTCCTTTGAGGGTCGGGAATGAAGATTTTTATGTTAGGGAACATCAGAGAGACGTATAATGAGATTGTGACCATTCAGCATGGATAAACCTCACTACTGTTCTAGGCCAGGAAATGAAAAATAATTATAAATGTTAGAAGGCCCGTAGAAATTAGGCAGAGTGAACATATCTCATGGAAGGATGCATTAGTCTTAAGACCGCTAGAAAATACACGTGATGTCAGGTCTTGGGGCCAAGTTTTAGCACTGTTACTCATACCTCAGGTTTTCTGATGTTAAAAGATTGATAATCAGCTTTTAAAAGACAGGTACCTTAGAAAAGGTAGACTCTGACAGAATGAAAGGAGCGACAGATAGAGGCATGTGCTTAAATACATGCAGAAATTCTTAGACCAAAATTGCATTCCTAAAATCTCCCACATGAAAAATTACTCCAGGGTGCAGAAATGATCAGAAATTACCATGCTTGTGAGAAACACATATGTAACTGAACATGTCAATATGAGGGTTCGTTTGCAGATTGCAAGCTAGAGAAACATTTGTGTTATTCAAGCAATTTGGATAATTTAGAACATCATAGCGCTTTGGGTAGATATCTTGGTTTGAGACCCAATTTTGTTATTTAGTAGCTGAGGACCTTTAATAATTTACTTAACTTCTCTTGTTGGTTCATTTTTAAAATGGGTAATAACGCTTCTCTCCTAGAAGACTGCAAGAATGAGGTGGGAGATTGTATGAGAGCAATCTTTTGAGAAGCGGACAGCGTAGTACTTTAGGTCTGTCTTGAGCTAAGCAGAGTGTGTACTTTTTATCTCCTGTCTAAATGGGATTACACTCTATTCTATTAGTTTCCTCCCTACCTTTAATGAAATTAATACAAAGTTCTTTTGGGGAAATATATCCCAACACATTATTATTTAATAGAAGTCCCTTTGCTTATCATAAGACAGAGGTAATTTACTACATAGGCCCCTCTTAGACTGTTAGCACTTCATTTGATTCTAAAGTTCTCCAAGTCGTTCTAAGCAATCCGGCAGTTAGAAGTTTGTGCCAATCTTTAAATAATGCATGGTTATAATAGTTATAAAAGCATTTGCATACAGTTTTTTTATCGTATGATTGAAACTAATCCCCTCTTCTTTCCTAGTCTCCATTGTGATAAAGGACATTTTTTTTTTCTCATGTGTTTATTCATCATAGCTGATGTTCCGTAAAATGCGAGGCTTAAGTGAATTTCCGGAAAATTCCTCAGCCATTGGTGATGTCCTGTCACACCTGACCTCGTCTGTGGACCTGGACTTTGGTGCACACCATCCCCTCCATGTGACAATGCTGCCTAACCCCTCACACCTCGAAGCCATCAACCCTGTAGCTGTTGGGAAAACTCGGGGCAGGCAGCAGTTGCGACAAGATGGGGACTATTCCCCAGACAGTTTGGCCCAGCCTGGGGACAAAGTCATTTGCTTACAGGTATTCGTAGCTTCAGAAAGTGAGGTCAGAGTCTGGGACAAGCAGGGAGAAAGAATGGCTGGATTGGCAGGTCTGAAAGGAGATTGCAGACATTTGATATTAAACTGAGATGAACATTTGGGAAAAGAAGAGTCTGGGGTCGTTTTAAAAATTAACAACAATAATAAAAAGTAAATAAATAAAAATTAACAACAGCTATGAGGTCTGGTCTCAGGGCAAATGACTTTAGGCTTGGATTTCCACTGCATTTTTTTTTTTCCAGGCTGGCTGGTTAAAGGGATTTGAACCCTTGACCTTGGTATTATTAGCACCGTGCTGTAACCGAGTGAGCTCACCAGCCAACCCTCCACTGCATTTTAGCTTTCTTGAGTTATGAATTGATTGAGGGTGAACCCACCACTTCTGAGAGGACAGATGTCATTACTCCTCTGGAAGCATGGCCCTCTAGGAAATCCCATGGTGCCCATGTATCCAGCAAGACTGCAAGAGTGTGGATTTACTTTGTTTGCTTGTCTGTTTTAAAATGAAGGCCTTTGGAGTTAAGGAAAATAATACGATTTATCAGTGTGGCTTTTTCGTAACCTACATCTTCCCCAGCCCACATCAATTTTTTAAAGATTTGGGCTATGAGTCATGTCTTCTTCTACAAGTGTTCATTTAAATATGAACCTTTGGGGCCGGCCCGGTGGCGCACTGCTACAGTGCGCTGCTTGGGAAGCATGGCAGCGCTCCCGC